ACACAGGATGACTATCAGAGGCTGCAGATGTTCCTAGGAGGAGGTTGGCATCACTGTTTGCGATCACATTACTTACCCTGTGGTGTGGGTCTGTAGCAGGTTAAGCTCATCTTTGCCTGGGCTGCCTTGGCCTGCCCAACCTCCCACCATCTCCCTGCCCTTGTCATGTGTTTCCATCCCATCCCTTCCTCGGGCGCCTGCAGTTGTGTGGTCAGGTTGTACGCAGACTGAAGACGCTGGCACATCTTTGTCTTGCAAGGCCTGACTAGTTCCCTGATGCGCCCTCCTTGCCAGCACGAGGGAGAGGGCAGGAAGAGGTTGCCAAGCAGAACCATGTTACGGGCTTGAAGCTACAGCCAGAAGAGCTTGCACTAATGCCCATGCAGATGCTGGCTGTCAGACCTGCAGAAGGCTGTCTCCCCGGTGTGTTAATAATTAACTGTCAACATTGCTTCTTTCCATTCTTTCCAAGCAGTGCTGGAGCCAAAAGGGATCAAACAAACTCGAGTATACTATTACAACGAAAGAAACTTGCCTGTGCCTTGCTTTGTGTGGATAGACAGGTGGGGTAGGTTAGAGAGAAAGCTCTCCTGATCACCTTGACTGTATGCTTTGATTATTTCCCAGTGTCTTAATTTTAAGTAGGCAGATAAATGACTTACCACAGTGTATAGCTGTGAGGCAGAGATATTTCAATCATTTTTAGCTTGGTCTTCTATGGAAATGAACCTTATTTTCTTTCATTACCTCTATCTCTCTGTACTCCCACATACCATACTTTTTAACCCATGTCCAATTTCAGTTAAAACAGGAAAGGAAGTACTGATTTCAAAGACACAAATTTTGACAAAAGACATGATCAAGAAGAGAAAAGCAGCATTATTACATAGTCCTTACTAGACAGCAGAGAAGCTACATGGAAGACAGCCGTTCTGAAGCCAAAGGCTTCAGTGTGGGGTCATACCTTTTTAGACAGCAGAGGATCCCATTATAAGGCATGAAATAATAGGGGAAAAAACCCTTACTTCTGCTTATGGACATAATCTGCTAAATTCTGTATAAACCTGAAGTTGCCACTTTTCCATATGGGGAACGTCACTGAACTTAAAAAAAGAGGGCTGGTAATTTCCTTTAGTGCAGCGGTAATTTGAATGCCTCTGGTTTGCTTTTTTAATTCATGCTTCCCTTGCTTGGAAGAATTATTGCTGTGTGGCTATATGACTTTTATATGGCTGTGTTTGAATTTGTTTGGCTGGAAACCACAGTGAGAAGCAGTAAAAAGAGGTTTTGAAATTTAATTGTGTGGGCAACACGGTCGAGAGACCTGAAAACAAGGGACCAGCCCCTTTGGGACAGAGTGCTACCCAGGAGAGTGTCTTTCCTGCTCTTCAGAGTAAGATCTTTGCAAAAAAATGCTTTCTCCATGCAGCTGCAGTCACCCATCACAGTGTTTTACCAAATGTAGCAGTATGGTTTCGTCTGCTTTTCTTATTGTTTGGTTAGTTTTGGTGGTTTTTTTTAATCTTGAAGACTGTTTCTTCTCTGTGTCTGGAAAAGTTATCTTAAAGCACATAGGCTAAAAGTGCCTTAAAAGGTAGATGTTTCAGGCAAATTTGGTATTCTGAGTGAAGCTATACACATCTGATTACAAATTGTGAAAGGTATTCATGAGTTCTTTTTTCCCCTTGGGGTAGAAGCTGGGAAAAGCAGCAGGAGTGGCTGCTCAGAGAGCGAGGAGGAGAGAATGCCCAGGGGCTTTACATACCACCATCCAAGATCTGCTTACAGCATCACGTCAGGAATGGATTCTGCTTACCCCAACGTTTTGTCTCTGAAATCACCTCTGTCTTCTGCACTACCGCCTATCTCTTTCACAATGGCTCTCAGCTGTCAGGTAAAAACTTTTTGAAGCTGTTAGAACTAAAGCAAACCCAGGCAAGTCTCACTTTGTGTATTGTTTCAACTCGGGGAATTTGCTATTGAAAGAACTAGTGGAGAATAATTGAAAAGAATGAAAACATCTGTATAGTTTTCCATGGCAGAAGTACCTACCTGAGTGTTCCTGCCTTTTATGCAGATGTTTTTTGGGGAGGATTCAGAGAGCACTGAGGTGACAGCCCTGCCTTCAGCTGCCCTGGAAACCAGTGCTCTGTCACTGCATCTCGCTAAAGGATTCAGAAGAGGCTGATCCACCTCGCAGAGGAGGTGAGTAACATGAAGCAGGGATGCTGGTCTTGCTGAGAACATGGGTAGTATGGAAGTCAAATATTGTTTCTCTTGTGTATCAAATCAACAGTGTTTTTCACCAGCATTTCATGGGGGGGGGGAAACCCCCTAAAAACCTCCTTTTCCCACCCCACCCTTCCGTACACCTTTGAAATATGTAGCTTTGAAAATCTGGTTCAGAGTAGAAACTCTTGAGATAATAATCCTGCAGCAGAATTCCAGGGCAATTACATTTCATATTTGATGACTCCATTCTCTAGACCCCAACCTAGATTCTATCTTCCATGACGTCGTAGTTGGTGCAGCTCGGGAGATGCACTCCTGTGGCAGACCCCTGGCTCTGCAGGAGAATGGGAGGGCATGGGCCATACTGACTGCTGCTGCCAGGGGCAGTGGTTTACCATTTCTGAATTTTCTATGGAAAGTGGATAGTTTTTAAACAGAAAATTTTAATTTGTTGAAAACTATGGGGGAAAAAAAAGATTGAGGGAGTAGGTCAGCATTTACTAATAGGTCAGCTCAGGTGGTGTTTGGGAAGGAAGGGAAGGAAGGTGAGGCTCAGATGCCTTAGACATTGCTTGTGGCATATTCTCCCAAAATGAAGCTGATTCATATTTGGAAATGATTTGACTGCAGGCGGGCAGTTTAGAACATAATGTATTATGCAGATTTCTACCTAATTTACTTCTTCAATTAGATCATTAAAATGCCTCAAGTATTTGTGGCTTGGTTTTATTTTGTAGTATGTTTAAGAAAAACTCACCATCTTTTCCCTGCAGAAATCGTGTCTGTGTATTCTCTCCACTCTGGTGTTTCTGGGTGATGACAACTGAGGTGTGAATATGGGGCTGGGAGATACCGATGCAGAGAAGACTGGGAACTGTCTGAAAGTGGCATTAATCAGAGGTTGCAGGAGGTGGTGGCTTCACAGGAGACTTTCCTGTGACATATTAATTGAGTTACATTTTTGTGGCCACTTAACTCTGACACCATATTTTTGCATGGACATTAAATTGCACTTTGTAGGAACTTTGGCAGCCTGCGTTGTAAAGTCCCACAGAGCACAGATATTTTTTGAGATTCAAAATTTGGGAAGGCACTAATTGTAAACATTTTTTGCTGCTTGCTCTAAATAGTCTTTCAGCCTTGTCTGTTCCTCCCTACCTGCCGTTCTTCAACTCTGGCTTTGTACAAATTATCAAATTAATGCTGTCATGAGAGCGCGGTACCGAGCCAGATGATGGTTGTCATTGTTGCATAATGCAGAGGGCTTTGGCCAGAGGAGTTTTTAGCAATAGTGAAGAAGGGCGGGGTACGGAGGAGACACTGTAATTGAGGATCAAAGCTAATTGGTTTTGCTTCTCAATCTGTATAGGAGCTGTTCAGCTGCAAAAGGCAGAAGTGTTAGGAAGCATCTCTCACTTAGACGTTTTATCATCGGGGAGAAGTGAAGAGGTAAGTTCTACTTTTTACAGAATCATTTTTTTGTAAGAAAAGTCTTTCCTCAAAGTAGCTTGGCAATACATTTGATGGTAAGAGGCTTAAGGATAACCTAGATTTAGTAAAGACTGCATGTAATGCACAGAAATGTGCAGGATATAGTAAGGATATTGCTAAAAGTAGTTAATTCTTAACTACAGAAGCATTATGTAGTTTATCTCACCTGTCAGGCAGAAAAGAGGCGGACAAGCTACGGAAGTAAAATGGAAAAGGTGAGGCAAAATTTTTCTAAAAACTTTAGGAAGTGGCTTTTGTTAGGATAAAATCCCGCTCTAGAGAGATCCATGAAGTTGTATTTAATTTCTGTGGAATAAGGGGTTTTTTTCCACAGATCTTGACACTACCAGAAGTTCTTAACTTTCCAATTAAAAAGTGGGGAATCACAGTTTTTGTTTTTTCTCCTTTTATTTACCAAATGACAGGAAGCACCAGTAACTGAAATAGTCCTGTTTTCCCTTTACCTCTCCAGTTCTGTATTCTGGTAACTATATAATGTAACAATAATCATTAGCATTAATTCAAACACAAAGCTTTAAAATAAATGTATATGTTTTCATTCTGGCAACAGATCAATTCAATCAAGCTGGATAATCTGCGTATAATTTCCTTGTGTATGTGTGGTATTCTGCGTGCTCCTAGTTTGCATTCCAGCAGCAACTGGAGCATAAGACATAAAATTCAGTCTGCAGTAGCAGAAATCAGACTTCTAGCCAAGCTCTATGTCAAAATCCAGGAGTGGTGAAGGAGAGAGGGTTTGAAGTGCTTTTTGAATTAAGCTGCTTCAACAGTCTTAAATAATCCAGAGCAAGGCAAAGTTATGAAAGTAGAGTTTGGGTTGGAGAACAGAATTGCAACAATTATTGGGCAACCGATTTCTGGAAAAAAGAGATACTGTGGAGCCTCCTTGGTAAAAAATAGCACCCGGTACACAATGGTCTAAATTGGACTGTCGTGTTCAGAACTGAATGCAGGAAAGAAAAAGGAATACAAATAAAGTTTTATGGGATGGGGTAAAGGAGTGACTTGTGCTAATCTGTTACTATCTGGTCACGATTTATGCTTTAAAATGCATTTGTGATCTTGGAATTTTAGATCTTTTGTGTTTTCAAAACATCATTTACTAAAAATGGTCAGTATGAGCAAGCCGAGTAGCGTGGAGTTGCTGCCCATATGATGTTTTTATGTATTCTTTGTTGTTGTTGTAAGGTTTCTATTTCTACTAACTATCCTTTATTGTAATAGGAAAGGCTTTCAGAAGTGGCACAAAGTCGAAGATGGATTTTAAGAGCATGAAGAACTATATCTATTGGCTGTACTGCCAGTTTGAACTGATCACCTGCAGCTATCTCATGGAGCCGTGGGAAAAACTGCTCTTCTACACTTTCAACATCGCTATGTTAGTTATGGTATTGTACACCGCTTACATCTTTGTCCCTGTCCGCATCAGCACGGCTTTTCAGTTCTTCTTGCACTTATTTGGAAGCCAACATGAAAATACTGTTTCTATTGTGAAGTAACATTGGCAACCTGACACTGACTCTTGGATCAAAGAAGTGTTTTTCTTAACACTCCAGTTTTGTTTAGAAACAGGTTCAGGGTGTATGCAAATACTGGTTTATTCTGCCGTATCTCTTAGTGTTCTTCTGTATTCTGGGACTCTGTGACAGCAATTCATTTTACCAAAACAATTTCAATCAGTCCTTGCTTTTATTGTCTGATTGACTGCTTCTTGAAGAGCTTTTAATGTTAAAGACTGGCTGGATTTGGGACAGAAACAACCGTGCTGCATATTTTGTTATTCCAGGGAGAGCTCCTGGGATATGGAGAGGTTTCATCTTGAGAAATTCTATGGCATACATTTGTTCTTGTCTGCCGTAGCTTTGCTGACAGGAGAGATGTGTACACAAAAGGTTTTGCACAATACTATACAACTATAAGCTGCTTCTCTAAGCTTAGTATGTATGTATTTATAGAATTATTTTATTATTTATTTAGTTTGCCTCAATTATTTAATACAATGAATTACTTGACTGGTTCATCATCATTATGCAAATAATGCAGTTGATTTATTAAAAATGTGGGGATTTACTTCCATGAAAATTGATAATAAAATTCTCATTTTCTTGGACTTTACAAAAAAGATCATTTTTGTTTTACTTCTAGAAGACTGGTAAAGCATGCACATCATATACATAACATATATATTCAGTTGTGGTAGGGACATCTCAGTTGAAAAACAATAAAAACCCTACTGAAAATACGTTGTCTCTCCTTTTGGTCTAAACTCCTTACTCCCTCTCTTTTCCCTCCTTTTTTACTCTTACCTGTTGAGTAGTGTCAGAAACGTGAACTCTTGAGACTGCAGACTTTGTAACTAATGTGCTGGGCACCCTGCGATGGGCTTTTTTTTCAAAGTCCCTGTTTTTTAAGCTTCAGCCTTAGAAACACAAGATGCCTGTGCTGCCGGCTTGCTACGGCGGGCGTGGGCTGGAGCTGGCCAGGGCTGAAGTGCCGATAAATTCACTTGGCAACTAGAATCGGTGGTCGCTGTCAGCCCAGGGGAAAAACAGAGTAGTAACAGGGCACATACAGGGCAACATAAATGCAACTTTGCCCTCACCCACCACAAACTGAGGGTTTTTTACATCTTTTGAGTGCAGAGATGCTCCTAGAATGTCCTCTCCTTCAAAAGAATAGGATGTTATTAGTAAGTGGCAATCAAATGACTTACGAAATGAGATTTGGGCATAGACCAAAAAAGTGAAGACACTAATTATGTTATTTGTCATCTTAACATGAGATCCAGTTACTTACCCAATTTATAATTAGAGGAAAACAGGATATAAAAATAGTTCATTCAGGAAAATGAGGGCAGCTGAGCTTAAACTTACAACTCTTTTGACAGTACCCAAGTAATCTCTAAGTCTGTAAAAAAAACCCAACCTTCTATGTAATGCTTTCAGATTAGAATCCAGTTGTGTGTTTTACTGAAGTAATACAATGGCTAAAGCAGTGAATAGCTTACATTTGCTCCTAGCAGCTTTCACGCTCGGTATGTATATTGCTGAAGAAGAGGGAAATGCAGTATTTTAGTTATCATCTCAATTACTAGACAATTTATGACGACAGTAATTTTGTTTCAAAACTGTTAGTCGATATAGCTTAGCTAAGTAAATGCAGTATTTTGCATTATACGTGCAGGAGAGACGTGCACATGCTGCGCCACATTCCTGAGAAGACAGCTTAGTGGTCGAGCAGCCCACCATAGCCGTGTCTATGTTACAGCAGAAGGCTCTACACACTCATCCAAAGTATCTGTGGATGTTCAGGAATGGGACAGGAGGCTGCAGAAGGAGGAACTCTTACCCTGGGCGTGTTTTTGTTTATTGCCGCCTTTCCCCGTCTCTCCAGCGCTGACCCACTTGGCGTTTGTTGTGGTTGCCTGAAGTGCCTCGGTGCCTCTTTTGCAACTGCCGGCGTGGGATGGTGTCTGCTGAGCTGCGCTGCGGTCCTTCGGCAGGGACAGGCTCCTGCGTGTCTGCTAGTGACAGCGACGCCACTGCAGCTCTTCGTGCCAGTCCGCAGCAGCAAAGATCCCAGCTCAGCTCTGTGAACCTGAGCTAGGAAAGCACGAAAAAGCAAAGAAGGAAACAAAGGACCAAGTAGCAGTTGAACCCCGCTCCCAACTTCTTGATTAATTTCTTTTCCCTGCATGTCGCCAAGGCTCTCATCTACAGAACAGAATTTCAAATATTACATGCAAACTCCACCTTGCAATTTCAGTTTCAAAACACAAACCTGCTTGGGCAGGTTCCCTGCTGGAAGCCGCGCTCTGACCAGCAGCCCCAGGTGGTGAATGGATAGAATAAGGTCGTAGCTCCAGATTTGCTAATGTCAGGCCTGTGCTCACCTGGCAGGGTAAATTTGATCAAGGTGGTATAACTTGGTGTCTCTCAAACTAGCCATGAACTTGATAACAGCGTTTATCTCAGCTGTGGGAGAACACACGCTACCCAACGTGGAACAAAGGCTGCTGTAACAGCCTGCTTCGATGCTTTTCAAGATTTTTTTTTAGCCAGCAGAGTTTGGGCCAGTGTGTACAGCCTGCACTGAGTGCCACAACATTTGTTTCTTAAACCTAGTGATGAGTGTTGCAAATCCTGATTTGCTATCGCATGGCTGAAGCGGAAGGTATTTCCAGAGGAATAGGAAATGGACTATTCCCAGCAACTCCTGCCTGCACACCCTTCTCTGAGGACACCTGCTCCGAGCTCAGTTCCCGGTGACATCTTGCTAGCAGTAGCAGCGTTTCCATCCCACTTCGCTGAAGTTCCTTGCACAACCCAATGCAAACAAAGGGGTGTTTTGGCCAAACGTTCCTGCAGAGACAGGCCAGCCGTCTGCAGACAATTCTGGCACAGAGTCACTCATACACACAGAGCCTATGTGAGTAGGAAGTTGGTTGTTAGAGACCGGGGTGGCTGCTTCATCTCCTAAATGTTGTCAGAGGATCTCAAGGATTCGAGAATCAAATCCTCAACGCCAATGCCTGCTGCACTAGATGATAGCTACTAATTCCACATGCCTGTTTTCCCCTGTCCGTGTGGGTTGAGCGTTTGGGCGTGTGTGCCCAGGAGAGGAGATGGTTGGTTGCAGCTGCTGTTTGCAGGGGTTTATTACCGATCAGACGCATAAACAAGAAGTGCTTGTTGCTCTCTCCTAGCTCTCTCCTAGCCCTGTTGACCACAGCGTACGCTTGCATATGCGATACGTGCTGCTTAGTCACTTTCTGTCAATAAAGGAATTAACTTTAGTATTTGCAAATGTGGAGTTAAACATGCAGTCTTAATTTGACCAAGTAAGTTTCTGACATAGAACCGACCTGGTACTCTAACGGCATTTCCACTCCCCGCTGTTGTGAATAGATCCAACTTCCCGGTCCATGCATTTACACAGGGGAAGTTTACGTCACTCTGGTGCTATACATTAAAAAGGAAAGTGCGGATGACACGGAGCACCATGCAGATCACTGTTTCACTGACTCATTAAAAGGAATCTCATATTTAAATTGCACAACTCACCAACGCTGGTTCAGCAAGAGTTGAAGCTAAAGAACAAAATAATAAATGTCTGCTAAAATAAAACTACTCATGCTGTTCGCTGTGAACTGTTTGATCTTTACAGCTATAACACGTAATGGCAGCTTCACAGCATCCTCATTATGAAGGTTTATTACTGTAGTAGTTTTATAGCTCATCTCTCATTAAACTATAATCTGTATTTTATCCATCCAAATAGTTTAAACTTCCTAAAGGCAACAAAGATGATGATTTTGCGCAGAACTTTACCTCCTCTGCTACTGATTACTTCTAACAGTTTTTGGAGGCCTAAGATAAGTTCATTCTCCTTGTTGTTACTTTATTGTTTTTGCTATACGACGTATGCATTTTGTCTATGCTACTACTTACATCTGAACATAATTTGAGTTCTTATCTTAGCTACTCATTATCTGACTTGAAAATCCTGTTTCTAAGGTGAACTTGTCAGCACTTAATAACCTCTGCATCCCGCAGAAGGTATTCATTTCATCTTGCATGTATTTGTTTAGAACAACGTTCAGTTTACAGCAGATCTGTTTCCCTTTCCAAAGCTGACCTTAAATTACTCAGTCCTGCTCAGCTGAAACTGCCTGCTTAACTTTCCTGCTCAGCTGAAACTACTTCACGCAAGAGCTTAGCTATAGTTGTCTTTGTTACAGAAAATGACTTCTACCTATTTGGTGACATTTCCAGTATACAGTGTAAATACCATATAGAATAGCATTTACACAGACAGTTTTCTAGATTTTTTTCAGACGAACAAAGGTAAGAATTTGAAATGGCGAATGTTTGTGAGCAGCCCAGGGCTTTGCCTCTTTTCCTCTCTGCATCACTTCTTCAAACGGATGTATCTGCAAAGGCAAGAGTTAACACTATGTGTAACAGGATCATTCCTGGTGTAGTTTGAAGGCTATGGGAAATGCACGTAAGAATATTGTCCCTGTTCCAGCTTAGATACTTAATACGTGGTCCATAATATCATAATGCAGGTTTTCCACTATTTATTTGCTGTTTAAAACCAGAGGCACAGGGGCTCCTAAAGTTTACCAGAGATTTATTGTAGGTACGTCACTGAACAGAGGGCGGCAGCGGAGCAGCTCAGTGTTCGTCTCCCACTCGTCCCGCAGGAGTTCAGGAGTTCTCTTTGCCAGCTGGGTCTGCACAGACCTTAAAAAGAGGAGAGAGACCCAGCAGGCTAATGGCCACCGCATTCCTGTAGGACAGACGGGACTCAAACACCGCTGCCTGTTGATGCGCATAGACTGGTTTCCATCGCGCATTCAGTAAGTGAGTTTGTGACCCACCTCACGGAGCAGCTTGGGGTTCAGGGCACCTGGCACCCATTTCACAGGAGATGTGATGGCGTTCCCAGGGACAGGAAGAATTTCTATCCAAAGCTCTCACCTTCCAAGGCATTT